GTCCTGGATATTTTTGGAGGTGCAAATATAAATCTCAATTTCATTCTAACCTTAAAAATATTATAGTATAATGGTATAAGTATGTATTATAATTATAGTATATTATGTTAGTTTAAGTATAAAATACTCTGTGTGTGTGTATATGTGTGTGTATTTTTTCCCTTCCTTGCAATTACTGTGGGATTAAAGGGAAAAAAAMCAGGTTTTTAAAAAATATTTATTTTTTATTTTGTAGTTGGACAACAATACCTTTATTTCACTTATTTATTTTTATGTGGTGCTGAGGATGGAGCCAAGGGTCTTGCACGTGTGACACAAGCATTCTGCCACTGAGCCACAGCCTCAGCCCAAGAAAAAAACATTTTAAAATACACTTTTGGTGGAGCAAAAGGAGGGAGAACTAAGAAGGCATACCTTTCTTTAAACTGTCTGTTAAAAATAATTAGCTTGTTTACTAATATTATGATCAGAGGGAAAAAATGCAGATGCTTTTGTCACTGTGATGAATGTAATAAAATATTTTATATTTAGATAATTTATTTCATTTTTCCATTTGAACTGCCTGCCAAGACAGTTCCAATTTGTGAAGTAATCTCCAAACATTTATTTCTTTGTCTCTAATTTGAAGGAGTCTGGCAATATCTCTGATTCAGATGGGTAGTTTGTATATTTAACCAGTCAAATGCTAAATTACTTTTAATAAAATCCTTTTGGACTGCTGCTGTCATTGATGATAACAGTGAGATGTATACATATATATTCTCTGCCTGGTTAAATTGCCTGAGATATTTTWGATCATTCTGAGGAAAATAATAAATGGGAGAAGTAAAATCAACACATGAAAATAAATGCCTTCAATTTTAATTTGTTCTATGTATACAGTAGCTCCCATCCATTAGTTATTCTATTTAAATTATAATGAATTGGCACAGAAGGATGTATGTCATTTGAGATTTGGTCTGGTATGCGGAAGACACTAAAGAGGAGAAATAAGAAACTACTATCAAGTTTTTATTCAGTTCTCTTATGGATACACAGGATAGCAGGTGGATAAATTATATCACATCTTATTTGTTTGTCCTGCTACTGACATAAGAACAGTAAGAGTAAAATCATGTGAATATGGCTTCATTCTTCATCTATACCCATGTATTCACCAAATACTTGATGCATGTCAGACGTTGTTGGAGGTGCAAATATAAATCTCAGTTCAATTCTAACCTTAAGAATATTATAGTATAATAGAATAGATATACATCATCATAATAGTATAAGTATGTAAGTATACTATATGTATAAAATATCTATRATAGAAAGACTATAATTATAGCAATTTCATATATTAATCTTATGCATTAAGACCTAAATTTAGATTTAAGATCCAAAGTCTCATCTTCAGTGAAGCCTTCCCTGATTCTCCCAAGCTAAGTTGTCTGTTTCTTCACACACGATTTGCAATCAGAGTTTCTGTAATGATCATCAATAGCAATACAGTTGATGCTTCACTTTCTTACTGAATTTAAGGCTCTTGGGGGAAGAGAGGGGACTCAATACTCTTTGTACCTCCACTGGGACTATGTCAGAGAGAGCTGGCAACAGTGTTTGCTAAATGAGGAAATAAATGAATCAATAAATAATGCAAGATAGAATTTCTGAGGGGAATAGATGAAGTCATAAGAAAGGGGCAAAGTAATAAGGAACTTTGAGTTATGGTTAACAAAATTCTTGGGATGTGTTGTGAAATAGTGAAAAAAAAAACATGGGCTTTCAAGTTCCCTAGGAAAGCTAATAACTAATAGCTAAATTTCATTAAGTGCTTAGTTACATGCCAGGCACTTTTCTAGGTGTTTTATGTGTAGCATCTTATTTATTTCTCACAGTAAGTAGACTCAATTATTTCCATTTTACCGAAGAGGAAACTGAAGCACAGAGGTAACTGTCATATGTAAGATTATGCAGATGTGCTCTATATGTGTAATATGAATCGTAATGCATTCTGTTATCATATATAACAAATTAAATTTTTTAAAAACAAAGATTGTGCAGGTAGAAGGAAGCAGTGAAACCATGATTCAAGTCTAGAAAGTCTTAATTGCTAGTTAGCTATATCAATGTTATCTATCCAAGCCTTAGTTTTAATCTATAAAATAAGTTCTGTAGAACCACCCTTATCAAATTGTCACAAATCAACAGGTAAAAGTATATATAAACTGCCTAAGATAGTGCACAGCAAAATCTACATCCCAAGAAGTGTTATTTCCTCACTTTTTGTCAATCAAAAGTTCTTTTAGAAATAAATTTTTAACATGTTAGATAACAAGGTTAGGACTATACTTCTTATGCTATCAAGGGAAGACTTGAAATTGTTCCCCTGGACTCATTTAGCATTGGAATTCCCATGGGGAGACCAAGTCAGTTAGCATCACAGGAATGCTAGAGGACAAAATGCCCTATAGCCCATAAAGGAGTCAATTTGACCCTGAGCATATTTGTATTTTTCCTCTTTCGTGTATAGTTCCAATCACAACTGTGCACGTGAATGTGATGTGTGTTGATAATCTAAATAACAGGTTGTAATGGTCAGTTTCATGTATCAACTTGATTGAGCAACAGTACCCAGATATATGGTGAAATATTATTCTGGATGCTTYGGTGAGAATACTTTTGGGTGGGATTTACTTTTAAATCATGGACTTTGAATAAAGCAGATTACACTCTATAATGTGAGCGGGCCTCATCTAGTCAGTTGAAGTCCTGARGAGAACAGTAGAAATACCTACCAGAAGCAGAAGGAAATTTGGCCAGCAGGCAGCCTTAGAGACTGAACTGCAGAATTAGTTCTTCTCTGGTCTCCAGTCTGTCAGCCTGTCCTGCAGATTTTAGACTTGCCATTCTTCATAATTGCATGAACCAATTCCTTACAATAGATTTATTTTGCCTGGTTCGAGGGTGCATGCCTGTAATCTCAGTAGCTTGGGAAGCAGGAAGGTTGCAAGTTCAAAGCCAGACTCAGCAATTTAGTGAGTCCATAAGAAACTTAACAAGACCCTGTCTCAAAATAAAAAGGGCTGGGAATGTAGTTAAGTGGTTAAACAGCCTTGGGTTTAATCCCAGAGATGTTTTTGGTACCAAAATCAATCAATCAATCTCTTTTTACACATATACACATCTTATTGGCTTTATTTTTTGAGAGATCCTAATGGAAGGAATTGTCTGATTTTTAATTGAATGATCAATATTAGAATTTTGTAGTAGAAAATGTATATTATTGTTGAAACACTGAAGATATGTTTTTGTATAATCTCAAGTTTATTTCCTACTGTAAAACTAGTTAATCGATCTTCTGTGTTCTTTCCATTCAGTTGTATTTTGAGTGTGTGTGTGTGTGTGTGTGTGTGTGTGTGTGTGTGTGGTGCTGGGGATGAAACCCAGGATCCTTCATATGCTAGGCAAATGTTTTATCCCTGAGCTGCACTCTCAGCCCCAATCATTTGTACTTTGATTTAAAAATATGTATTTATATTTATTGAAAATATATAATAGTCAATATAAGTTATAAATTATAAGATATATTGTCAGTTATAGAATAGCTTAAAAGTTCTCCCTGCAGATGAAGTTAGGCACTGGGGATAGGAAATGGGTGACACTCTTGGGGAAGAAAGTGCTGGGGTCAAAAACTTACAGTGTAGCTTCTTGACATCTATTTTTTTTTCTGATTAACTTGCTGCTCCAAAAGTTCTTAAGATTGGCATAAGACAACATAAGACCAATGATGGTCTTGAGACTATGCTTCTATTTACCTCAAAATTTCAAAAGAAATTATCCCAGACAGTAATTGACCTTTAGGTATATGGAGTAAAAATACCTTTGAAGATAAAAATTTCATTTATCTGTGATTTGGTTGCACAATCTTGGCAGTTGGTTCTAATATGTCAGTACTTCCCCAGTGACATGGTATTCTATAGACATATGGAAAGTTAAAGGATACCTACCACCTACTTTTATCCAGAGTAAATATCAGTTTTATTGAAAAAGAGTAATTTGCTCAAACAGTATGTTAAAATTGTTGTTTCTTATTGACATACAAACATCAATTATATTATGGAACAGAATGCAAAACATGCACATATTTGAGAAGTTCATTGACTATCCACCCCCAACCCCAACTCCCAGGACTGGGAATTGAAACCAAGGCCTTGCACATGCTAGACAAGTGCTTTACCACTGAGCTACATCCTCAGCCTTTCTTATTTGTTAATTTTTTATTTTGAGAGAGGATCTCACTAAGTTGTTCTGATTGTCCTTGAACTTGCCGTTCTTCTACCTCAGCCTCTTGAATAGCTGGGACCACAGGCATGCATCACTATGCTCCGCCCATACTTTACAAAACTTCTAAGAAAGTTTGCACTTATAGATGAGTGACTTCTGGTGGTTTCCTAGCTCCATGAACCAGTGGTGCTTTCCACTGATTTGTACTATAGCCCCCAAAACACCACATTGGTTCATGATATTTCTAATACTACATTTTAATATCATACTTTCACCATTCTCAGCAGTATGTTTTGAATGAAGAATTTTCAAAAACATGGTCTTCGACTAGTTTTAGAAAGTGATAAATATTGAAGAAAAGGGGAAGGTAGTAGCTCCATTTGAGATGAATTAAAAAACGAACCTACTCTCTTAAAGAAGAGTAACAGAAAGCCAGAGAGTTTTAATGACACTATTTTATTTCGCTTTTGCTTTTCTTTTCTACAAAAGCTCACTTTTTAGTAAATGTTTTAACTACAGCCTTCATTTTAGTTCTTATTTCAAGCRCAACAATTTATTGAGAACCTCTAATTCTAGGTCTCTACACAGGATTTCATAATTCTCCTTTCAGCAACTCTATGGGATAGACACAACAAATAACCTAGTAAATGGCACAGATTTGTATTAGGTCTCCAAAGCCTAGGGTTTTGGCACATGGTCATGCAGACTCCCACCATCTTTGTTCTCCAGCTTTACCCAGTGAAACTCCTYTGCTGGGCCGTAGACATGTTAGAGGTGAAGGTTTGTGTTCAAATAATGCTTTGCAGTTTGTTTCAAGAAAGTCCATGTTTCATGAGCCTGCAACAGAGGTAAACACAAGTATGGAAAACACATACTGCTTTGGTGATTCTGATTATCATGCAGATCTTCCTAAAAGGGGAGAAATATGATGGAAGAATTATATCCAATAGCGTGTAATTTTCATACTTTCAGTGATCTGTTTGTGGCTTTTTCATGATGCTTGGGCTAGAACCCAGGGCCTCATGCATACTCACAAGCCCTCTGCCACTGAGCTACATCCCCGTCCTTTTTATTTTAAGACAAGGTTTGGCTGGTTGCCCAGACTGGCTCGGAATTTGTGATCCTTCTGCCTCAACCTCCTGAGATGCTCGGATTGCAGTATGCATCACTGCACTGCTATCTATTTGTTTTATGCTCAAATGTGTTGTAGCACTTGTGGGGCTACAGTATGGACCGATATGGGAGTCTTGTTACAGAATCTGTCTGTTGATTACAGAACTATTCTACAATCACAGGCAGGAGTGTGCTTGAAAATTTCAACRTTCCATAAAGAAGACACAGTCTGCCAGCCTCTGTAATTATTTAATTTGCCAAATAAACAAATGTCTTGTTTCAATACTTCTAAATGATGCCTGTTGGAGGAAAACAGGCATAAAACTAGATGTGATATTCAAGCTGGTGGTTTTCATCAGCAAATGCTAAGCAGAAACAAGATCATCCTGGTAGAGCAGTTAAGACCCAGCCATGCGAGTAAGGATAGGACTGAGGCTACATGAAAACGAGAACATTCAACGTTTTATAACCTTATACAGCCCTCATGCCTGGTGATGGTGACAGCCTGATATACATGGAGAAAGAATAAATAAGTGAATGAGAATTAATGAAATGATTTGTGGTATAGACTTTCCCCCTTTAAATTGTTAAGTTGTAATAGAGAAATTGCGAGCAATTAAAATCCTCAGATAATTTAGCAATTTCATTTGGCTCAGAGTTTCCATGTTTTCTTCCATCAGAAAAGTACACGTGAGATAAAACTGGCTAATGCAAGTTTCTTCTTTATTTCTCTTGCAGTGGGAATGCAAATGAATAGGAAAATGTACAAAAGCCAAACAAATGAAGGAACAACATAAAAGACCTGGAGAATTATCACAGGGGAAAATTACCCACTGTACAACTGAGAGTAAATGACAATGGACCCACTATCCATTTATCCATCTAGGCAAACATGCAATCATTTATTAAGCCTTGATTGCATAACAGTCATTTTACTAGATCCAAAGGATAATTACCCTCATTGATAAGACATAGACATTACCTTTATAATCTAGATAGGGAAGTTGCATCATGAAAGAAATAATTCCAAAATTTCGAGAGCTATTCACAAAAGAGAGGGACAATTACTTCCTTGAAAAGAATAGGAAGACTTCAAAGAGGAGAGCACACTTGAGCTTGTTTTTTAAGCAAGAGATGGCATGTATTAAATAAGAGCCACTTTAGGAAAAGAAAAGAGTATATAGCCCAGAACAGTTAGAGAGAAAAAAACGAGCCCAGGCTAGCAGTATGCTACCATCAGCTGATGCCCTGCCAATTTTAAAAGATAAATGGGGAAGGATGATTTGTTTCAAAGAGAAGTACCTGATGAGCCAGTGTGATTCCCCACCCATTGGAACTGTAATCTGGGTCCCAGTAATCTTGCAAGTATACATGTCTTTTGAGACGTAGGAACTGGTTTGCTGGGTCCTCCAACAAAAATGGCGCTCCCAATGCTCCTGCAATTCAGAGTCCAAGAGCATCACATCTTTTAGGGCAATAGTTTACATTTTGGTGTTTCCTCTTAATGAGACACAGCTGTGGTCTTTGGAAGTCTGGGTGCCTCAGAAAGAAATTCTGGAAAAATTAAGTCCTGAAGGAGATGGTTACTCCTTTGCCCTTTGTCACTATTACAATGTCACAAATCCAACCTGCATGTAGTTCAGTGCAGAAGCCAGCACAGTGTGGTGGATGAAGAAGGATTTCAGAGTTTCTTTACATGCATGGGAGCCTACAGGCCTGGATTAAAGTTCAAGCTTTATCTGTTCCTTCTGCACCCTTAATTTTTGAAAGTTGCTTGATTACTCTGAGGTTTAGTGTTCTCATGTGTAAAGGGGTGTAATGATAACAACACACCCAAGATTGCTATGAGGACTGGRTAAATTAAAGAATATAGGCTATCAGTTTGAAATAAGCCAGCTAACAAATCTTATTCTTGCTTCTCTGGCCCTCTAATATAGATTGTATCCTTCAATTTGAAATAGACTGTTTCCAAACCTGACTCTGTGGTTTAAATTTTTAATATTCATAGAGCCCTCATTAAATCAAACAAGTTTATTATTTTGTATCTTCTTCCTACCTAGAATTACTGGGGGAGGAATAATAATTTTTGAAACCMAGACTTTCTTAGGGATCCTGAAATTTTAACTGTGTATATTGTATTTTCATTCCTAAGTAACACAGAATACTGTTCAAAATCATAATCCGAGTCAATAATGTTCTCATAATTGCTTCTTACCTATATATGGCAACAATACAATCTATTTTTTATTTGTGATATAGAAGCATCCATTGCAAAATATAATTATAAGTAATATTACATTAGGTATCCTACAGCCTTATAATTAACAGGTTTTGTCGACCAATTCTCCATACAGACAAGCATTATATGAACTATATAAAACTCCTGTTTATAAGGCAGAAAGTTTAGTTGGGATCAAAGGTCAAAGATAAAAAACAGAATAAAGCAACACATGATTTGGTTGTATAGGAAGACCAGGGAAGACATTATTGAGCATCAAGCAGGTGTTTTGGCACGGGCAGGTGTTTTCACGGTCAAGGAAGTTGCTGAACCTTTTTCTTGAAGGGAATATTAGATTTAGTTGGATGGGAGAAGAGGCCACATTATTTATTATAAGCTGGAGGAATGATGTGAGCAAAAGAATTGGTAATCTTTAAGATCAATATCTGGAAATAATGGTGATAGGTGCTAGATAGAAAAGTTTTAAATGTGAACATTTAACTTCAAACTATATTAGTGACAGATGCCATAAGTAATACTGCTCTGGTGCTATCAACCAGCATGTCTGCAGAAGCCATCCTCTAGGGTGACTCCCAAAGATCACTGCCTCGTATCCTTGTGCAGCCTTTCTTTCATGTAACAGGGCTACCCTGTGTCACCATAGGACACTGCTGAAATGAAGGAGTATGATTTTGGGGGCTAGGATGTAAGAAAACATTACAGCTTCCATCTTTCCCTGACTTGGTTCATCAGCTCTAAATCAGATGTTGTGTTCTGAAGAGACTCAAGCAGCCCTGAGAGAGACAGGCTCACAGGACAAAAGAAATAAAGCTTTCCACCCACAATTATGTAAGTGAGCCACAGTGGAACCTCATGCTTTTGCTCCAGTTAGATGACTGTAGCCCCCATGGACATCTTCACTGTAACATCATAAAAAAAAAAAAACCCTGAGCCAGAACCACAGAAATAAGCCACTCCTAAATACTTGACCTTGAAACTGAAATCATAAATGTTCATCATTTTAAGGTGTTAAGAATTGAGGAAAATAGTTATGCAATAGTACATCATAGTTACAATGCATTTTAAGCATTTACTAATGCCAAGGTAAATTGCTAATCATCAGGGTTGGATCTAGAGTGAGGCAAGTGAGGCCCTTAGGGGTACAAAATCCTAAAAGAAACTCATGGGGTTATGCACATTTTGTGCTCTAAGCCCCTCAATTTTCTTACTCCTCACTCTGATAATCATTGCATGGAAAYACAAACAAAAAATAATCCTTACCAAGCACTACTGCATGGAAAGATAGGCAATAAATTGCTGATGTCATCAAGGAGCTCACATTACAAAGTTCATGGACAATTAGATCCTCCATAGTGGAGGTGATTAATTCTGATTTTGACATGGAGGTTCATGCAGAAATTGATTTTGAGTTGGGCGTCAGTGGATACACACAGTCTCAATGTCCAGGGGGAAGGCTGTGGAAGCAGAGTGTGTTTCAGGCTAAAAGGGACTGGAGACCCAAGGCTCAGAAGAGTCACTTGAGATCAGGTTCAGGGACTCTCACTTTGCCAATATGTTTAAAATGTTGGGCTGTGGGACAGACCCAGTGAGAGTGTTGGAGAGTTGAAGCTCCAGCCAGAAGGGTTTTTACTGTCATACTAAGGAGCTTACATGTTATTCTGCAAATATTTAATGATTATTTCTGAACAAGAAGATGATAGGGCCAGATCCAAGAGTTTGAAAACACTTTTATTGTGATAATATTATCTAAAACATATGTAACATAAGAATTATCACTTAACTTTTGTTGAATGACTAATTCAGTGGTATTAAGTACATTTACAATATTGTATATCCATCACCACTGTCCACCTCCAGAACCATTTCATCATCCCAAACAAAAACTCTGTACTCTTTAAACAGTAACCTTGTAYTCCCTTCGAAGTGCTGGGTAACCACGATTCTCCTTTCTGTTTCTGTGAATCTCTATTCTAGGTACCTCAAATCAGTGGACTCATACAAGATTGGTTCACTTAGCATAATGTCCTTAAGGTTCATCCGTGTTGTGAGAGAGGCAGCATTCCATTCCTTTTTAAGGCTGGATAATGTGTTGTATGTCTGTATCACATTGGGTTCATCCACTCAGTTTCACTCTGAAAGATCCTTTTGCCAGCGATGTGGAGGACAGATGGGTAGAGAGCAGAGTGAGGGACACAAGGTTGGAGACTCTTCCAATGACTCTCAATGAGAGATGCTTAATGAGGTAAGTGACAGCAGGGACGGGAAGACAGGATTGATTTGATGAAAATTCAARGGAATTTTCATCTATTTGCCTGGTATGAGCAAACCAGCACTGGAAGTTTCTGTTTTACCTGAGAGATGCTAATAGGCAACTTCTCAGAATTCTTTTTTTTTCTTTTTGTAAAAAAAAGGGGAGGTGGTGTTAGTCACAGTGTTACCATATCTATGTGTGATCCTATTTCCAAACAAAGAGAGTAGCTATGTGAAGTCAATTCAGTACTGTCAATAATTAATAAATATTTSTGAATAAATGAGGCTTACGATATAATTTCCAGGTAGAAAAAGAAGCTGTAGTAATGGCTTGCCATAGTGTTATTTGGAATCACCCCAAAGTAAAACCTATACTCCACTACAATTATTCTGGTGTATGGTACAATCACTATGAAAAAAAGTACTAGTATGTAAATCTTGGCAAAGAAAGATGCTTTAAAATCGTGCCATGATTGTTTTAAGCTCTAATAATTCTGTCTTTCRTAAATCTTCTATCTTTTGCTCATGGAAAATATTTCACTGATATAATCTTCTCTCTATCTCTCTCAAAGGTAAAACTCCTACTTCAGCATTATAGGTCCAACAGGCATCCAATAAATATTAATTGATGGTGATAATAACATCACCCAGGAGAGAGACAGAAAGTAGTATTTATTATCTTACATTACAAATGAGAAAATCGACACACAGGGATGAAATGACTCACTCAAGGTCACATAGTAAGTCAGTGGCAGGATTGGAAATAAAATGCAAGTCAGATAGAAGGGCATGCTATTATCCTCTCTGCTTGAGAAATTTCTCCACCCTTTTTCATTTTGCCTAATCAACCTTGAAAGTTAGTGAGAACAAGACCAGGGTTTTGAGTTTGTGAATCTATATAATACTTCTAGGGCTTGAAAACTCAAACCTGAGTTTTATTGCTTTGTTGGTTTTTAACTAGGTATTTTTTTAAAACATAGTCAATATCAGCTAGGTTAATGCCTTTTTATAAAGTTTATGATCATAAGCCATGGAAAATATCTTTCTCTTTTTCTTTCCAACTCCCTGCACAACCTCTTTCTCTTCCTCTTGCATCAGTCCATTTTAATAGGAGTTGTCAATGTTCTTTCTAAACATTTCAGAAATATCTTCAGTGGAAAATTCTGTACAGTAAAAATAATGCAGTCACATCAGAGTACGGAGCTATTCAGAGTCACAATTCCCCAGGTAAGCCAAGAAGATCCAAGTCTTTTTCTGGCCCTGCTAGCGCTTAGCTAGTTCACTGAGCCACTTCTTCTTTCTGCACCTGCCTTTCTGTTGTCAAAAGAGGCAGAATTGCATTCTCTCTAAGATCTCTTCTTGATTAATTGTTTTGAACTGGAATGTATTTATGACAAATAGGTGATTAACCAGAAACTCTCTTCTCTGCATGTTATCATGTTAGTTGCATACCAGCAAATAGAATAAGCTAAGTGGGCACTCTTCCTACAGACAGAAATAAGCAAAGGAGAGTCCAGAATAGACCTTGCCAATAATGAAAGCAAAACAAAGGAAAACGTATTCACATTATGAACAAAGGGCTGAGTGCCCATCCCAAGCTGATGAAGAACCTGTGAATCCTGGAAAGGGCACCTTTAGAAATGGGAAGACACCTAATACTAGCATACTAGCATCACCCAGGAGGGCTGCAAAAGTCTTTAAACTTAATGGTAAAGAAAAGACCGAATATTCTATATACTTATGATGAAAATGATACTTGCAGTAGGAGCCACTGCACTAAAAAGACCAGAAAGCCTAATGTGAAACTTCATGTACAGAATTAAAGGCTCTGATAGTAAATTCTGCTTTCTTTCACACACAGGCACTRCACTTAAAGTAAATCTCGGGTTCCTTTTCACTCCTTTGCATACCCTGTCCCAGGAAAGGGCAGTGCCTCATTCAACGGAT